GCATCAGGAAGCTAGATGTGAAAATCTGGCAGTGACGCTTTAGGCTCGTCTGCAGCTTTCCCGTCAGTGCTTGTTGGGAAGGTTCAGTAAGTGTCATGCTGTGGTGTAACCTGACACATTGTCGTAATAATGAGGCTTTATTACACTATGGGAGTGTCAGGAGATTTTTCTGTGTATTTTTCTTCCTCTTGTACACACAAGCTTTAATCATCTTACACAAGAGTGCGGCCACCAGCTTGTCTTGCAGGTGCATCTTTTTCCTTATATTTCATACAGGAAACATTTGCGCAGGCTTACTGTAAATGATGCATTTCTGGTGGTCCCCACAGTCGAGCGCTGCCAGCTCATCTCTACCGGGTTTGTCTATATTTCCCCCTTGGCAATGATTTTCAAAGCTCTTCTACTGTAAATCACTGTCTGACAGGTTATTTTTTGTCGCTTTCGTGTCATTTCCAGCTTTTGCTTGTTAAATGTTTATGCTGACGATGCATGATGGTGCCTGCCGAGTGGAAAAAAGGCTTTAGGAAACTACTATCTTTGCCCAGCTCGCCCCAACCCAAATAGACAATTCAGCATGCTTCAAAGAAGTCTCGGTTTTACAGAGCACTGCATCCAAAAACCAAACCGAGCTGAAATTGTCCATTTTGAAGCGTTGCAGGATGTTTCTTCAGGTTTGGTTAGCCTGCCCTGTGGACGAAAACCGTCGAAAAGGATTTTCCTCAATATAAGTTCCTCCTTTGCGACAACATTGTGTTCCTGTAAGTGCAGAAGTTGGTCATGAAGTACCATCAGAATATGACTGACTGAATATTAATTTCTAAACTAAATTAAACGTTTAATACACTGCTACCACGTCAGTCCTTAATACGGTTACATTCACACACAGTTTGGCTATTTACAGGAGTGACACTGGATTCTGTAACCAAACTCACACCTGTAAATTTCAGAAAACCTTTGCTGTGTGAACGGAACCGGACTGGACAACTAGTTGCCCATCACGTCACGCAGTGCAAGAGAATCTGTTGCGAGTTTCCATGTGTGGTTTCGGTAACTTATCTAAAGGTTTCTAGTCACTGTCCTCCACCGGAGCGGCTCCCGTCAGTTTTGTGTTGTACTTGTGGATTTGACGGATAAACTCGTCAAAAGTGTTAACATTTTTCATGTTACTTTGGTCACTGTAGCTGATGTGGTTCCTGGTAAGAGAATACAGGCTTGTCGGCTGTTGCGCATTCGTTACAGTGTGAACGGGACATTTCATACCTGTAAGTAAATGCGGTTCTGTGACCGTAACCTATAATTGATTGACTATGAAGTATTTAACAACAAACGCCTCATTTAAGTGGTCACTGGCTGTTAGACCGCACTGCTTTGCATAATGCAAATGCTATCATAAGGATAAAACAGTAAATGTGTTTTCCTTCATGGAAATGTTTTACGACATGGCATTACTGATCAAGGTTTAATGTGCAAATACTCGACTTAAAGGAGTAGTTCACTTTTAAAAAAAAATTTGCTGATAATTTACTCACCCCCATGTCATCCAAGATGTCCATGTCTTTCTTTCTTCAGTCGAAAAGAAATTAAGGTTTTTGATTAAAACATTCCAGGATTTTTCTCCGTCCAAAAGACAGTTTCAGTGCAAACTGCAAACTGTTCAAAGGGCTTTAAACGATTTCAGACGATGAATAAGGGTCTTATCAAGCAAAACGATCGCTCATTTAAAAAAAGGTTTAAGTTTTATAAGCTCAAATGCTCGCCTTGCTCTGTTCTGTGATGCGCGTTTGTGACTCTCTTGTTCGAATTCGTTTATCAAAATGAACGAATCTTTTTCCGACTCAATTCTTCATTTTGTTCGTTGAATGAACCAAATGACGTTGAATGAACCAAAAGATTTGTTCGTTTTGTCACGAACATGCATCACAGAACAGAGCAAGGCGACCATTTGAGCTTATAAAACGTAAACGTTGTTTTTCTTTTTTTAAATGAGCGATCGTTTCGCTTGATAAGGCCCTTATTCATCGTCTGAAATTGTTTAAAGCCCTTTGAAGCCGCACTGAAACTGTCTTTTGGACCTTGAACCGTTTGGTTACCACTGAAGTGCATTATATGGAGAAAAGTCCTGGAATGTTTTCATCAAAAACCTTAATTTCTTTTCGACTAAAGAAAGAAAGACGTGGACATCTTGGATGACATGGGGGTGAGTAAATTATCAGCAAAAGTTTTTTTTTTTAAAGTGAACTACTCCTTTAAGCATGCAAAAATTTGTTGTTGATTACTTGAACTACCGATTAGTTGTTACAGCTCTACATATACGTATAATGAAATATCAAAGAAGCCACAGAACAATGATGGATTTCACTGGGACAATGAAAGTGCCTCAAACCTTAAGGGTTGAACTCTTACTGGTTATGTACATGCTGTTTTACCTCGTGATCATGCGAAGGACTCGATTTAGTCTGGCAAACATTCATCCTCTCGCTCAGAAACAAAAGATGGTCTTATTCAGCTGATGCCTCAGAGTTCATGTAAGGCCACTCAGTGGTGGGTGGAATAAATGCCACCATCTACATATTCCGTGTGAACGTTACTTTTAAATGAGTCGTTTAATGAGTTTTTCTCATTACTTGGTTTCCTTCTCATTTATTAGTTTCAGCGTTTTAGTTTTTGCTGTTCGATTTAAGCGGATACATTCAATGCCACTCCGTCATCCTGAAGCGGGGAATCCCTGTTTGCTGGCTCAGCAGTGGAGAAAAGGAGTGAAGAGAGGAGGAGGTGGCCTGGCCTTCCAGGAAGTCTCGCCTTGTTCCTTGTGGTTGCCTGAGAATGTACAAAGTCAAATTCGGCTGTTGCCAGTTGCTATGTAATATCAAAAGTCATTTCCCTTAGAGAATTGCAGAACAGTTTCATGATTTTTGTTTTTTTCACAAAGTTATGTTTTTTCAGAAAGTTATCTTCTGGCATCTCTTTGCTCCGTTTGGCAGTGCTCTGCAAACGTGTCCTCAAAAGATCAAAGGAAGCATAAAATACGTTACAACATGATTGTGATAGCAAATGACGACCCCAGCTGTTTGATCAGTTTAAGTGGGCAGGTTGTGACCTCAGGTTTCAGAATCCCCCCAGCTTTCTGAAGTGCCGTCACAACTGAATTGAGCATTTCCTGGGTTTTCAGTGGAGTAGAGATGATCTAGATCACGTCCCTGGTGGAATGTTGCCTTTCTATATATGGGCATAAACGTGTTTTTGTCCGTTGTCAAGTCATTCTGTCATCCAAGCATCCTTCCTATCACAATGAAATCAATGAGCAACATAATTTGAATGCGGAAAGATGACTTAGCCACTGCCTGGAGACTGAAACACTGTTGCTTAAACAGTCAACTTATTATGATGTGAACTTACTGAAAGCTGATTAACACTGTTACTGTAAATGCAACATTTTGTTGTTTGAATATATATATTTTTGTTAAATATTAATGAATGAGATCATAGGGAAAAAAAGAAACGACGCATGTTGGTTTACTTTTCCACTCTCAGTTTCATTTCACTGCTTTTAATCTATGTTTATTATCTCCATAATCAAGTATAGAGGAAGTACAATGACTTTGAATTCATCGCTTCTGACAGAACTTCTGAAAGAGCGTGTAATCAAGCTCAGATGTTCTCACGAAACTGCCATGACCCAACTAACATCACAAACAACATGCGCACCTTCCATATTGCACCAAAGTCACGTTTCCCAGAATCTCGGTAATGCCCCATGAACACTAGCAGCGATTTTAATGCACTTGAGTGCACAGGTATCTAATGGTAGTGTGAATAAAAAGCATTGTGATAATCTGTAAGACTATTTCAGGTCAATCCTTTACTATTTTACTTGAATGTGTCTACTTCAGTCTGACTCACAACATTTAGAAACGGTTCCCATTAATGAAACGGATCGAATACCACGGCTCCTGGCCACCCTCCAGTTCTTAGTTGTTTACCATTTGCTGGTTTTCCTCGAACAGTGAAGGGTTCTTGGAAAGTCTTGGCTGTATGGAGAGGCCCCTTTAGATCCCTCACACATTCCACTAGCGTGTAACACCAATTTTACTACAAAAGCCTGTGATCATCTGAGTGCATTGTCCTTTAAACCAAATCCAGATTATAATGCTCATGCTGTAGTGTTGCCTGTGAAGTACCATCTCTGCACTTCATCTGCTTAATACACTGTGTTAATTAGATTGTGGGTTCAGTGGTTTAAATACTGTGACATTTCCCAGCCATCTTTAACCTTGATCTGAAGTGTATGGTTCTTTATAGATAATTTGTGCATTTTAAACTCCATAATTTGTTTTGAATGTCCTGCAGTCTCCACCACATTCAGACCTAGCATTAAAGGAGTAGTTCACTTTTAAAAAATCTTTTGCTAATAATTTACTCACCCCCATGTCATCCAAGATGTCCATGTCTTTTTTTCTTCAGTCGAAAAGAAATTAAGGTTTTTGATGAAAACATTCTAGGATTTTTCTCCATATAATGGACTTCAATGGGAACCAAACGATTCAAGGTCCAAAAAGAGTTTCAATGCAGCTTCAAAGGGCTTTAAACGACACCAGACGATGAATAAGGGGCTTATCTAGCGAAACGATCGGTCATTTAAAAAATAAATGAAAAAAATGCACAAATGCTTGCCTTGCTCTGTTCTGTGATGAGCGTTCGTGACTCTTCGGTTTGAACTCGTTCATAAAAATGAACAAACCTTTTTTCAAGTCATGACTCGAAGGGTCCTAGATAAGACCCTTATTCTTCGTCTGGTGTCGTTTAAAGCCCTTTGAAACTGCACTGAAACTCTCATTTGGTCCTTGAACCGTTTGGTTCCCAATGAAGTCCATTATATGGAGAAAGTCCTAATATGCTAATGCTAATATGACCGCACCCTTAGTTTCCATGAAATCTTTTGCATTACATGATGTTGGCAATTAAACTGATTGGTAAATTGTTCTTGTTTTCTTTTCTTTCAGGACCTCTCTTGTCTAGATGATCTACCAATCTTCTCCCCTACGACCGACTCGTTATCCGTATACACCAATAACGATATCCTCAGGACTGATGTGACAACCAATGTACCCACAATATGGGACATCAAAACATCAGCATCAGTCCAAGAGGTAAGGCTAATTCCTGACCGCAAATGCTCATGTTAAACGTAACTGACTTTACCAGTGTTTTCTGGCATTTGTGTGGAATTACTATTATTAGCATAGTAGCAGAAACCACACCTATGAGGGACACACCAACAAACTGAACCTTTGTTCCCACTCTTATAGTAAAGCATGTGATCTTTTTGTTGACTTTAACTTGTTTCTCTTGTTCCTCATCAGGTGAATTCTAACAGGTTTCAAGGTTTAAACTCTTTGGACGACATCACTGCTATCATCAATACACCACCCATAGGAGGTTATCAGGTAACTCTCAATCAACAGTTCAGTCAAACAGCAAAGTATGTCTTTGTTTCTCTTTCTGTTTTTCCTTTTCTATTTTAATCTTATTACATGTTTACACAGAGACCCCAACCACAGCCAGAAGAGGAAGAGGAAGTCGAGGTGGAGGAGGCTGAAGAGCTGGGTCATGTTGACACCTATGCAGACTACAGGCCCTCAAAATGTAAGAGTTGTTTTTTTGCACATATTTCTTAGCTTTTAATTTCATACTAGAAGATTCATAACGTTTTTGCTCTCTCTTTCACTGCCTCAGCCAAGATAGGAAAATCCCACCCAGACCGAGTGGTCGAAACCAACACTTTATCTAGCGTACCTCCTCCAGATATCACCTACACCCTGTCCATCCCAGAGACCACCATAAATGACGGCCTGCTCTCTGCTTTGCAGCTGGAAGCCATTATCTATGCCTGCCAGGTACCCCTAAACAAACTTTGCCTTTCTTTTCCCACAAGATGCACAACAGTGCCTTCCTTTAAAACAACAAATTGAAAGAATATAACGGACTGCAGGGTTTACCTCAGAAAATTTGTTAGTTAAAGGGGAAATGAAACAGTCAATCAAGTTTTCATGATTTACAAGATTGATTTCCACTATAATCAACAATCATATAAGAATCATGACAAATGTAAACATTTATATATATATCTTTCGCCACCAGGGCGCCGCCATTGTGCAGTATTCTAACATGTGACGTCACAGGGTTGGTTGGCTTTAGTTTAACAGGCTCTGGGCAGTGAATATCCCGACATCAAACTGTTTACACCAGTGTTTTGACCGCGAACGACTAATGTTAGGTACAGTCATGAGAGAAAAAGTCGACGTCTAATGTTATGTGTTGACAAACTGCACATAGAAACATTGTTCACGATGTCTGCCATCATATTCCCGTCTCGTCAACACCATTTGCATGTAAAAGCATATTGTGTTGACATGGTTTGAGACTGTTTACAAAACACTCTTTTTTAACTGGTCAAATCCCAATTTCCCAACCTTATCCATCATTCAAAAATTTTATGACCAAAATGATTTACTATGAACTACCCCCTTAGACTTTTAATTAATGCGAAATATAATGCGTTTAATATTCATCAAAAATAATAATTTGGAATTAAATTGATACACAATCAGGTGAATGTTCTTTTTATTCTTTTAATTTTAAATTAGCCATCGTAAAATCAGCTTCAGACTCTTTGTCTGCAAATATTTTTTACTTTCTCATCATACTTGGAACAAACAGGCCTCTAATATAATCTTCTTTATGACACTACAGCAACATGAAGTGATTCTGCAGAACAACCAGCGGGCCGGCTTCCTCATCGGGGACGGCGCCGGAGTGGGCAAAGGTCGCACAGTGGCTGGCATCATTTTAGAAAACTACTTAAAGGGAAGAAAGAAAGCACTATGGTAAGCCATCTCCACACCATCGACTCTCCCACATCAAACAGACTCTGGATCAGTTGCCTCATCCTTCTCATCTCTCCTCCAGGTTCAGCGTCTCCAATGACCTGAAATATGACGCAGAGAGAGATCTCCAAGACATCAATGCACCCAATATACAAGTGCATGCCTTGAATAAGGTCATTATTACTGCTTGGCTCAATATGGCAGCCTTGTTAATGGAGATTTTCCTCATAGCTCTGCTCGATGTGCCTAACTGTAACTGTTTTCCGTACAGATAAAGTATGGAGACACAGCTACCTCAGAAGGGGTCCTGTTTGCGACCTACTCAGCACTGATTGGGGAGAGTCAGGCAGGCGGCCAACACCGAACGCGTCTAAAGCAGATCCTAGACTGGTGTGAGCCGGATTTTGATGGAGTTGTATCCTTTACCCGCTATGGAGTTATGTGCATAACATAGATTTTGTGTGCAAAGATTTTATAACTTTCTGTTGCCCTTACCCCTTGCAAAATAAGAGCATTTAAAAAAAATTAAAAAAAAGAATATTATACATTTTCACTCTAAAATATGATACTTATTAAAATATAAATATTAATTACAATTTTATCTAAAATAAAATACTTATAATATTAAAATATACATACTAATATATTTTACAATATTTTTATATATTATTATATAATTTTCAAAATGTTTTAGAAAATCATTCTATCGATATCATTCAATTTAATTCAGTAATTCTTTCTTTGTACTTTAACTTTTTATAGTAATATTGTTTTAAATTAGCCGTAGTAGTGTATTTTATTTATTTAAAATAAATATACTAATAACAAATATATATTATTTTTATGTTTATTTATAGTATAATATAATATTGCGTTAAACCATTTTTATTTCTTACTCTTAAAATACATTTTGTAGAATTGTTTTATTTTCTTATAACTTCAGAAGTTATCCATGTTTTTTATAAACAATCCTCTGTAAAAAAAAAAAAAAAAAAAAATGAAGGTGAACATAAAGTTGGCTTTACCCTTGACAACAGCGACCCATAGATTATTTTTGATGAATGCCACAAAGCCAAAAATGCAACGTCCACAAAGATGGGGAAGGCCGTGCTGGATCTCCAGAACAATCTGCCGTTGGCCAGAGTGGTGTACGCCAGTGCCACAGGTGAGTCTCTGCACTGCAGAACACTTGCAGTACCACACATTATGCCAGAGGCTTAAAGTGAAGGACTCTTGTGTTTCTCAGGTGCCTCAGAGCCAAAGAACATGATCTACATGAGCCGTCTGGGAATCTGGGGAGAGGGAACCCCCTTCAGGACCTTTGATGACTTCCTCCACACCATAGAGAAGAGGTTTGTATTGGACCACAAACTTGTGAATATGAAAACTAATATATTTGTATACGAAATCTGAATGTACTCTTCATTTATAGGGGTGTGGGGGCCATGGAAATCGTTGCAATGGATATGAAGGTCAGCGGGATGTACATTGCACGCCAACTCAGCTTCTCAGGAGTTTCATTCCACATAGAAGAGATCAGCTTGGATGATGATTTCAAACTTGTGTACAACAAAGCTGCTAAACTTGTGAGTTCCATTGTGAACATTTTTTTCTTTAGTGAATAGAAAGTTTAAATTAATAGCATTTATTTGAAATAGAAATCTTTTGTAACATTGTCTTAACACTCACTTTTTATCAGTATAATGCATCCTTGCTTAATAAAATTATTAATTTCTTTAAAAAAAACAAAAAAAACATACTGAACCCAAACTTGTGAATGGTAGTGTACATGTTTGGGTTGAAAACATCTTCTTTAATTCATTCAATAGAAAACACTGAAAAACAACAAAACAGTCTCTAATGAAAAAGTTATTTAAAGTCTATAGAAATAGTTCACCCAAAAAATTATCCTGGCTGCACTTTTCAGTACAATGAAAGTGAATAGGTACTAAAGCTGTTAAGCCCCCAAACAACAACATTTTACCACAAAGCTATCAAAAAGGTTAGAAGCTATATTCCAAAACTTCTGAAGCCATCCAAAACCATTATTAAACTGAAAATGTATCCATTACTGATAATCTTCCCATGAAATGACAAAGCTACAGCAGAGGGCAAGATTTTCAATAACATTGGCTACATTTCAGTCTGTTTATTCGAGAAATCTATCGAATGGCTTCAAAAGACATTGAATACAGTGGGATTGTAATATGAACCACTATTGCATATTTTAATAGTGCATTTTTTTTTTTAAATATTGGAGCTTGATACCTCCAGTCCCCATTCACTTGGCCAGGATATATGGGTGATTTAGAGTAAAAAATGACTTAATTATCATTTTTGCGTGAACCCTTACCTTTAAATGTAGTACAGCAAATCAAGTACCAAGTCTGTAAAATGGGACATTACGCTGTGTATGCATATCTGACACAATCTCCTCTGCAGTGGGCGGAAGCTTTGGCTGTGTTCATGCAGGCCGCCGACGAGCTCTGCATGAGCTCCACGAAGTCCCTGTGGGGTCAGTTTTGGTCATCCCATCAGCGTTTCTTTAAATACCTCTGCATTGCCGCCAAGGTGCGCTGCCTGGTGGAACTGGCCAAAAAGGAGTTAAAAGCAGGAAAGGTCAGTCACATTAGAGAGCCCGAACTCTTCCCTATGACACATTACTTGTTGCAATTTGCATTTTACACTCTTTCTTTCTTCTCTCTAGTGCGTTGTGATTGGTCTGCAGTCAACAGGTGAGGCTCGAACCAGAGAAGTCCTTGATGAAAACGACGGACGCTTGGACAGATTTGTGTCTGCTGCCGAGTAAGTGAAACCTTTCATAAATATACACCCACCTTATGACTACTTCTTTCCAGAGTAGTTTCTCTTGCAGTTTCATAATGATAGAAAGGGTTCTCAATATTTGTATTGCTGTGGTCATCTCACAGTCCATGTATCATTCTGAAACCTATGTGTAAGTGTTATTTGATAAGAACCACTTCCTTAAGCCAATGCCAATTCCACAAAAACTCTTTTTCTGCCTTAACACGATTGATTATGTGTTTGTGGTTTCTCAGGGGGGTGTTTCAGTCTCTAGTCCTCAAACACTTTCCATCAGAGAAGCAGAGGAGAGAAAAAGGAGCGGTGAACAAGAGGAAACGTGAGTTGTGTCGCACACTAGTAAAGTTGTCCATACATTGCCCCGCCTTTCATGGTTTGATTGAACGTTCTCCCGCAGGTAAGCCACGGGGCCGACAGCCAAAGCAACCCCGTCACGGCACTGATGTAGTTGGAGTTATCAACATCAGCGATGACAGCAGCACCGAGTCTGACGCCTTGGACAGTGACTCCAACTCCTCACCTGACTCGGTCCAAGACAACAGTGATGATGTCATTTTTGTCGATCAAACTAGCTATCAAATGGGTATGTTTAATTGGTATTTTATTGTGCGACTTATAATATCTCCATTTACCCTAATGAGGTTTTTTTTTGCTCTATTTCGTCTTTAGCACGCTTAGAGGAAATGAAAAAAGCACTTCTCAACAAGATCGCTGAGCTGGGTAAAGAACTACCACTCAACACACTGGATGAGCTCATCGATAAATTTGGAGGTCCAGAAAAAGTATCAGAGGTTATTATTTATGTATTTTATCTAGTGGTCCAAGGATTGTTATACCTCAAAAACAAACAAAAAAACAAGGTTGTGTTAAAGCGCTAAACATGCTTTGTGTATACGCCCAGATGACGGGACGTAAAGGCCGAGTTGTGCGTCGGTCTGACGGCACTGTCCAATACGAGTCCCGCGCTGAGCAGGGCCACACCATTGACCAAATCAACATCAAAGAGAAAGATCGCTTCATGAATGGAGAGAAGGTGAGAGCAAGTCTTGACAAGGAAATCTGCTAACTTTAGGCTCCTTTTGTGCATTCAGTAAAATGTTTCGCCTAATTCCCTTCAGGTGGTAGCCATAATATCAGAAGCGGCCAGTTCAGGGATCTCACTTCAGGCTGACAGAAGGGTGAAGAACCAGCGTCGAAGGGTTCACATGACCCTGGAGCTGCCTTGGAGTGCAGACAGAGCCATCCAGCAGTTTGGTGAGTAGCATTAAATCATGCCTACCAACCTCTGACCTTGTCATCAAAACTGTCTTCCCATGAAGAGTGCAGCTGTACCACTAACTGACAAGCCTTTGTTGTTCTTCAGGTCGCACTCATCGTTCCAACCAGGTCACGGCTCCAGAGTATATCTTCCTTATCTCTGAACTGGCGGGCGAGCGACGATTTGCGTCCATTGTGGCAAAGAGACTGGAAAGCCTGGTGCGTCCCTGACATGCAAACTCCTACTCTTTTCTGACTGCAAATGGTTCATACACACTGTTTAACATGTGGTGAATTATGGGCCATTTATGTCTTGTGGTTATAATGGAGTGATATTGGAATGAGAGATATTCCAACTAGGGATGTGCCCAAAGCCTAAATTGAGCATGGAAAATGAGTAACGCATTCTATGGCGCCCCAAAAGGGACATGGCTAGGCTTGCTGCAGTAGTTTGTTACATTACAGATATATCGGCCAGCATATCGGTATCGGCCGATATATGTTCATTTTTTAATTTTATCGTTATCGGCCTGGTAAGAAAATGTGGCCGATATGGTTCGGTACAACATGTGCAGCTCAAATCTGTCATATCGTCTAAACAACACTATAATGAGAACATCATTATAATCGTGCGCTTGGGACATGGATTTAATTGTGAGACTTTTGTTTTTGTTATCAGGCTCTCAAAATTAGATAAAAATTTATCGGCCGATATATCGGTTATCGGCTTTCAAATATAAAGAATTATCGGTTATCGGTATCTGCCAAAATTTTCATATCGGTGCATCCCTAATTACAGTACATCAGATTTCACTTATCATATGAAGATAGTAAGGAGGGATGACTGCTACTCCCTATATACAGAGTATGTGTGATTGAAAATTCGAGCGAGCGTGAATTTAATTTTCGTTAATTCCAGCTCCCTGATATCCGCAAATTATATACAAAAGTAATTACCCAACTATTCAATCGCGAGAGAAAACGAAAGCATTGAAATATATTTGTTCCACCATCTCGTATTTCTTCCCATTACTATGTCTATTGGGGCTCTGTAGAATGTGTCATTTATTTTCCAAACATAGTAATCGGCTTTGGGCACACACAAAAAAAGTTGAAACATTTTAACATGATAAAACATTCAAATTTCTCCTCTGGTGCTGACATTTCTAATCTTTGTGTTTGCTTTTCACAGGGAGCTCTGACTCATGGTGACAGAAGGGCCACAGAGTCTAGAGACCTGAGCAAATACAACTTTGAAAATAAAGTGAGTAACTGTTTGAACTAGAACAGTGACACTGTTTAGAAAATACTCAAATAAGTTATGTACAAACCCGTGGTCTGTTTTGGCTTTTCTTCACAGTATGGCACCAAAGCTCTAGATAAGATTACCAAAACCATCCTTGGTCAGATCGAAAGCAAGGTACCCCCTCCAAAGGACTATCCTGGTGGCGACGCCATGTTCTTCAGAGGTAAATGAGCTCTATTTTTGCATCTCTTAAGATGTGGATCAGCTAGAACATTGATCTCACCAAAATCCACCAATGCCTCCTCATCTTAGACATGAAGCACGGTATGGTGGACGTAGGCATGCTCTGCAGTCAATCACGTTTTGGCATCAACACTGAAAAAGGTGAGGTTTCCACATATAAGAGTCATATCGTACATTTCATCCACGTATTTGCCCTGACCATGTGACGATGCTTCATTTCAGACTGCAATATCACCAAGTTCCTCAACCGAATACTGGGCCTGGAGGTACACAAACAGAACTCCCTCTTCCAGTATTTCACTGACAATTTCGACTACTTGATCGAAAAGGACAAGAAAGAGGGCAAATATGATATGGGAATACTGGGTAAGCAGCACTTCTTCTGGTGGTCTGTTACTTTTAAGTTACATTGATCTGCTCAGGTGACAACCAAGTATCTGCTTTCTCTCAGATCTGGCTCCAGGTAATGATCAGATCTATGAGGAGACACAGGAGAAGTTTCTGACCGCGGGAAATCCTCAAGATGGTCAAGTTATCCTCTATAAGGTCCGTCTTTTTTAAGAAGTGTGCATGAAAGTTGAAGACACACCAAGTTGAACTGATTCTCTAATGTTAAAGTTATTGCAAACCAGCTTTTTAACGGCTGAGAGCTCAGAAAACATGCCTAAGGCACAGGAGTTTCATGCGTGACACACTATCACTTTCACCAAGAGCAATATTTATTTTTGACGGCTTGCGCAATGGGGACTAGTTTCCCAGCCGTTAAGTACTTCCTTAAAGGGTTAGTTCACCCAAAAATGAAAATTTTGTCAGTATTTACTCACCCTCATGTTGTTCCAACCCCGTAAGACCTTCGTTCATCTTCGGAACACAAATTAAAATATTTAAGATATTAAGATCACTCCTGCATACAGTCCATAGGCTTCTTGAGGGAATGACTTGCTGTCCTCGAAAAGTCATTAAAGACATCGTTAAAATAGTCCAAGTGACTACAGGGGCTCAATCCTAAGTTTATCAAACGACGAGAACACTTTTGTGCGCAAAAAAACAACAAAAATAACGACTTTATTTCAACTATTGGTTTATTTCTCCCTCTGCGCGAGTCAGGTTACTAGTTTAATAGCGTATGCTTCTGTTATTGTACGTCACACGCATCACACACACATGACCAGCGTCGGCCAATAGTGAGCCTACGTGTGACGTAGCTCTACGCAATCACACTACGTTAACTGACTACTGGAGAAGGAAGTGAATAGTTGAAATAAAGTTGTTATTTTTGTTGTTTTTTTGCGCACAAAAGTGTTCTCGTCGTTTGATAAACTTAAGATTGAGCCACTGTAGTCACTTGGACTATTTTAACGATGTCTTTAATGACTTTTCGGGGACAGCAAGAGCCAGTCCCTCAAGAAGCCTATGGACTGTATGCAGGAGCGATCCTAATATCTTAAATATCTTAGTTTGTGTTGCGAAGATGAACGAAGGTCTTACGGGGTTGGAACAACATGAGGGTGAGTAAATACTGACAGAATTTTCTTTTTTGGGTGAACTAACCCTTTAAGCGAGAATAAACCACACTGTGTGAACTTTCTGTTTGGCATAGATTTTGGATCCAAGCATAGCCAGAAGATGTTGGACACCTGTCCAACCATTGTGGACAAGTTTGACAAACATTATCTCTGTTTGTTTTGTTGCGCAGATAAGTGTAGATAGAGGAATGCCATGGATGGAGGCTCTCCAGAAGATCCAAAATCTCAGCAACCCGGATGAAGGTTTCTACTTATCCCATAAAGTGAGTATTTAGGTATAGAGGAAAAAAAAACCCTCTTCTTTCCAAATTTGCATGTAGTTTCCTTTTAGTAACACAGGAAAGATGGTTCTTTGGAAGAACCTTCCTGTTCAAGGGTGAAGGAGGGTTCATGTGTAATTAGCGTTCTTCCTTAGATGTCTGATGTTGAACATGTTGGTGCCTGTCTCTTTTGCAGTTAAGAGGTAACTACCCATGCGTGCTGCTAGCTGTGCAGGGCCGGGAGCACAACATGATCATCTACAAACCAAACATTGGCAAGCAGGCCCAAATGGAAAGCCTTGATAAACTAAAACAAAAATACAACAAGGTGTGTTCAACCTCTTCACTGTACATGTAAAAAATAATAGGAAAAAGAGAAAGTGACACCTGTAGAACTGCTGTGAAAAACCTCTCTGCTGCCATCTAGCGAGCATTATGGGTTTACGACACCGTCTGAGTGATGTTTTCTACCCTTGCTTCAGGTCACTCCAGAGGAGGCACAGGATAGCTGGGAAAACCAGTTCACTTTCTCCTTCAGGAAATGTAGCCATGCTAACTGGTGAGAAAAGAGACTGCCCCAGCTTCTGACTTGGTACAAGCCAAACTGAGCTCAGAGAATCTAATGTTTATGCATAATTTATGCAGGAACGGGAGATGCAAGAAGATAGACGAGGGTCAGGAGTGCTTAATGGGCACTAGGTTGCGTCAGTACCACATGTTGTGCGGTGCTCTTCTCCGTGTGTGGAAGCGTGTGTCTGATGTGGTCGCTGATGTCACCAGCACCAGCATTCTACAAATTGTTCGCCTCAAGACCAAAGACAGCAACAAACAAGTTGGTGAGTTAACCTGTTGACTCTTCTTGAGGATTTAGCAGAGCCCCTTTCACACAGCGCGTTGATCCCGGGAAATTGCCAGAACGCCTTCTGTGTGAACGCAAACACGAGCCGGGATTGATATCGGTGTCGGATTGATATTGGGGACCTAGTAACTTTGCCAGAATCAGTCCCGGAACGCGCGCTGTGTGAACAAAAGCCAGGACCAGTGCCGTAAGGGGTGTGTCATAGTGATGACCATAGACATAATAAATACATAGACGCCCTATTGGCCGCTTTGGAACGTTGCTGCGATATGTCAACGGGTCCGCCATTTTACGGAGGTCAAGATTGCACTGTAATTAAATGCAAGTGTTTTCAGGATAAAAATGCGTTTTTTCAGGATAAAAACATTCTTGGATAAGAATGGTGAAGACCCCCATACTGAGATATTTAGGTTTGCTCATTGTGGAAAAAGCATTTTATGTGATTGCAATAACATTGATAACTGATGGATCCTTTATGATAATACATACGTTGTGGTACAACTGGGCATACAGTGCAATGCAAATAGTAATTATAACATAAAGTGAGAAGTAATAGTAAATAGTTTAGTCGATAAAATAAACAAATAGTATACAGCAAATAAAATGGTAATGAATACTAGTATAATTATATAAAAATATTGATAGTAGTATAGTTTATTAATAATACTATAATAATAGCAATAGAATAAGACATTTCAACACACAAAAAATAAGTTAAATAGTGACATATATTTAATATTTAGCTCTTTTTGTTAAATTTCCATTTTATAGATCAGTAATAGGCTAGCCATTATAACAGAAGTAGCTTCAGTCAAACATACAGCAGGATACAATGTTAAAAAAGCCTAATTATAAAGTTATGAAACTTTACTTTGCCTTCAGCCAAAACTATTTACCAGGGAACCATTTATAGATTAATGATTAATGATTAATAAATTATACGAATTATATCTCGTGTTTAACCTCTAGACTAGAGACATCCGAGCCAGCGGCAACCGTCAGAAGCACTGGCCGAGGGACGGCTGTTCCAGGCGGGGTAGACGAGCGCTGGGCGCAGCTTACAACTCCGAAAACTTCAGATCAAATTTTTAAAGAGGCGCTATCTTTCTAAACAAACCACATATTTGAGCTTTAAACAACTACATTGTTGACTGAAAAACTATTAAAACTACATTTCGTGACACTATAACAGTAGTATTTAACCTCTAAACGTTACTATTACTAATTAAATCATGACCAAATACAACCAAAAACAAACGTTCAGTCTTGCTTGTGAAAGGCACTTCCTCGAAAGCTGTTTTCAGTTGTGTGGCGATTTGTACAGCCCCAAGCAGCGCACAAAAAACAGTCATTTTTCTCAATTCCCGGTATGAGAGGTATGGGAAAGTTGCTCTCCCCAATATGGCGGCGCCGTTGACGTGCGCTCCAGCGGCCAATAGGGCGTATATGTATTTATTATGTCTATGGTGATGACGCTCGTGCCATCGGGCGACTCTGTTGCTCTTAGAAGAAAGTTAGTGTTCGTCATCAACAAAGAAAGGACGAACAAATGTCTGCAAACTGGTACGAAGCAGAGACCAGGAGCTTGTTCGTTCACCAGCTTTGTGGAACGGTATGCGCGTGTACATGTTTTCGACGCATCCGTTACACGTCTCATCCTGACGTCATGTGTCTCACAGATCCCGGCAAATCACTGGCAGTGTGAATGAACCGAAATCAAACAATCCCAGGACAAATGCCGGGTCACATTATCCGTGTATTTTCGCGAATCTCTGTGTGAAAGGGGCTTAACTAGCAGATTGTAATGCTCTGGACTGATAATCAAAAGGTTGTAGGTTCTGACCCTGCTAGGACACCATTCCAATCGTTCAAAGGAAGTCGGCAACTCATTGTACTCTCTTTCACCTAGGTATAAAAATCCCAGAGACCTGCGTGTCAAAGGTGCGTCAGGAGTTGCTGAGGATGGATGCCGAGGTGAAGCGGCGACGCCAAGAGAAGGAGCAGAAAGCGCAAGAGCAGCGTCAGGCTGAGGAACAGCAGAGACTGTTGGTGCAGCGTCAGCATCAAGAGTTCTTGTTAAACTTCTTCCCCCCGTCTTTGCAAGCTCCCACCCTTAACAACTCCTTCACGCCGTTTCCCTCCCTAAAAACCCCCTTGGACGAAATCCTGGACCTGTCAGTTCACAGTACCTCTCCCTCCTCCCAAGTTAGCTCTCAAACTGGACTGAGTGTAGACAACCTCACTGGGCCGCCCGACCCTTCAGTGGATGACTTTAACATTGAAGCATTTATTCAGGAGCAGCAGCGTCAACAACCACAGCAGGAGAGTCAGTCCACTCAGGAAAGAAGCACAACACGGGACACCGACCTGCTAGACATGATTCTGTCCTTGAACTCAATTGTGACCACCCCTAGCCAAAATGACCCTGCCTCTTCCACCTCAGATGCACCTTTATCGGTACCCATGGTCTTGCCAAGTTCCTTCTCTTCTTCAATGTCGCAATTCACTCCAACGCCGATCACACCGTCCTCATCTTCTCCTTCTTTGCCGCAAGTCTCGCTCCCCCCTACAGACATGCTCCCGTTACCGAACAGCCACCGCAGCTCTGAAGCCAATATAAACGCACGGGAGGTTTTGAACAGCATGCTGCAAAGTGGAACAGAACAACGCTACTCCGTCATTCAGTACCAACAACCAGAGTGAGACGCTTCTTGTGGGAGTCTCCTGTAAACGCACACACTCAGGGCTGTAGTCTGACCACTGGCGGCGCCATGCTCCACCACTGGCCCCGGATCCACAAGCATGAAATTCTGCTTCACAAGATGGGGGACGTCCGGTGTTTGCTCTGTTCTCTAGTGTACGATCCCTACACATTTTGTCTGGCCAGAACGAGCCGAAACCGCATGCCAGATCTTCAGGATAGTTTTCGAGGTGGTCATCCCATCCCAGAATTAATTTACCAAAAATTGTTCAAGTCAGAAAATTACTTGAGGTTTGTATCGTACCACAGGATATTTCGCTTAAGTTCCTTAAGATTTTGCCTATGCGGGAATAAAAAGATATTTAAGGCACCCGTTTGGTTCATCACAGGATGAACCCTCTGGAGAACCTCAATATATATTTGAAATGCCTCAAAGATGTTCTTTTACAAAGGGGTCAACTGTCGTTCCTCATGGAGCATTCTTGACTCTTCATGTAAGAGGGTTCTTCGAAGGGTTCTGTGGCCAAAGATTCCAGCTGAAGTACAAACCTCACATACGCAAGACGTACCACGAAGTTTGCTCTCGGCAAGGGGCTTAAGCTTTGTTTTGCTTTGGACAATCATCAGCTTTACGTTTCCGTGATGAACTTTTGTTTTGACAAAACACTTTTCCTGAGGAGCAAGAGAACAGGCTACTGTCGAAATGTGCCTTTGGAACACACAGTGGAATGTAGACGTAAACGTGTACTCCTGTACTGTCATGTGCAGATGTTTGTGATGTATTTATTGCCTTTATTTATCAGGCCTTGAAACAGTGTGCTAGTAGGAGAGCGTTACTACCTACAGATCACTCACCTGTGCAGCTGTCTCTATTGTCCTCAAAAAGAACAGTCTGTCCTGCTGTCCCCTGTGTAACGCAAAATGGTAACAATCTATTCGCCGAGTGATTGGTTGATCCCAAAAGGGCTTTAGTCACACGCAATCTTTTGTATGATCCAGTGTGGAAACAAAAAGATCAGACTTCAGAGTCAAGAGTACAGTCAAGAAAGGGCAATACAACTTTTATCTAGTTAAATTGAAGCCCTTTATTTAATAAGTTAATTAATTAAAAAAAGATTATGTTTTAAATCTTTGTAACGCCTATAAGAATTACTTGATTATTTGTGTTTAATTTTAAAGGGACATGTTTTATATTGTTTTTATTTTGTTTTAATGATACTATGATATTTGTAATTGTGCAGACAGAAGACAATCTGGCAAAATTTTGTTAAAGTTTGCTCTGCTGCACTGGATGGTTGTTTATCTTTATACAAATTATACATTCTTAAATATTTTCACTGCGAAATTGAACTGAAACCCAAATATTAACTTCATAGCTCTCTACGGTGTTAAAACCACTCCACATTTTCCCAATGAACTTCATGGACAATTAGTTAAAAGATATATATCTTTAAATCAGAGAATTTTCCAAATGTCTGTCTGCGTAAAAATTCTTGTTTGTAAAAATCCTGTCAGTGACACAGATCAAATATTATTTATTTATTCTTTACTGCTTATTCTCTGCACAAATTTATTATTTTATTCTTTTCATTAAGGGAAATTCTTTTAGCCACATTTGCACTTGAAACTTTTTGTGTGAAATTATTCATAGTTTCTCTCATCCAAATAGTTGTTACACACTCAGCGTTCAATTGACATTATATTGAATTAAATTAATTGTTTCATAATATTTCGTGATCCTTACAAGTGATCCACATAGTCTGTTTTCTCAGTGCCAATGAGAAAGATGAACACAGGACCTAGATTTCTGTTTTACGTTCTAATAAAGCATCTTATGCAACAAAGCACTATATGATGAGGCCATGAAAGTGGGACAAAGTTAAATTTAACCCTTTGTTACTGATTAGAAATTTGACTCGTTCTGTGTATGATTTGCACTAAAACAGCATAAATGAGTGTGTGTGATCCAGTTCTGCCAAGTTTGTTTGCTCTTGGCCCTTCATGGGACTGTTCAATACTGTAAACATCTCACATTATTGGCTTCGCTTTTATATCAATATGACATTTACGTAATTTATTGCTATGGAAAAAAAACATGCTACTGACTGTATGTATCTTGAACCGTTTTATTCCTGTGTTCTTATTGGTTATGGTTTTGTCATTTTCTATAGGCCTATTTATAATTGATATCCAATTGTATATATTGTAAAAACAAAATGTGCCTTTTGACTGTTTCTTAAAGAAATTGTTTTCTACATGTACCTAAAGAGGAACATATACAGTTCAACTTTATTAACAAAGCAAAAAAATAAAATGTTCAGATTCCTTTTTGTGTTTTTGGTTATTTAAAATGGATATATTGTGTTATTTTTGTGAACTGAAAGATTTGCCAATATTAACATTTTAGTTCTGCTAATTGTAAAAGAATTAAAAAAAAATACCTCTTTTTACAAATTTTTAATCTTTTTTTAACATTTGTGTTGCATTAGTCTTGACGTTTAGTGGTTTTACCTTTTTTAATTGTAATTTATTTTAATATAAACTTTCCCTTTGAAAGTTTACTGGGGCCCCCTAGTGGTCACTGGTTGAGAACAATTGATCTAAGGTTATTCAAGGTTGCCTATTTCAAAGGATACCATTGTATTACCATTGCAGTATCATGGTTTTACCAAAGTACCAATGTAAAAAATAAATAACACTTTAAAACCATCCATTATACCATTTGTAAGTGTTTATGGAATGTCATAATTATAATTTCAGTCAGCTGTGTGATTCTAATACCGCGCGTTACCCACTGGAGGCGCTATAACGAAGGAGAAAAAAAGCACAAAAAATTGTAACAAATATTTTCTCAGAGAAAAAACAGGCTAAGCACATATAAGCAAGAAAAAATCTAAATTAAAAAATCCTAGCAAACGGGTATTATGGTAGGTATACGAACGAATAAGCTCTTATTTTAAAACGTCATCATGGAATTTGACTCAATATATTATATTGTGCCACTCTTGTATATATTCGACAACCAATGATTGGGAGGAAATGGGAAAAATAAGACCAATGCCACTGTAGTGTGTGGTTGTACTACTTGATGACGAAACTGCCCAACCCACATGTATTAAGCTCCTCCCCCTGTCTACAGGTATGATCAGGTGCTGTATAGATACAAGGGAATATAACGAAACCTTATTTAAAAACTGCAGGTACCAGGCCTTGTGAGGCCCCCAATACGGAATTAACTAAGAATTTTAGTGTTCGTTTTTAAAGGGGACGCATTATAAGGTAGGCTACGTGAGTAAAGTGTTTTCTTCCTGTTCTGCTTTGTTGTGTTTATCGATTGTTTGCATTGGTCTGAGACTGATTCATGTTTCACGTTTTGCTGAAATGTAAGCTGTTTAACTGGAAGTTACGTCGAAACGGTGAATAATTGGCGACATGTGTCATGCACGATTCTGAGTTTATTATAAATGTTATTTTTGGCTACATGTTTCTGTTCTGCTCCAATAGATAATAACTTATGCTATTTGGTTTTCGTAATATGTTGCCTGATTGTTTTTGCTAACAGACACTTTTAAACATGCTTCTACAATGTTGCTATTTTCTTTAGAAACTCAATTTTGTTTTTAGAAAACGACATCAAACTTGTTGACAGCTAAATATGAATGCTCATTTGTCTCGTATGTGTCTAATTCATATGGGAACCGTTGTTAGTTGTTATTAAGTTGATTCATAAACATAGTCCTCAATTCTGAACTTTATCCTGAAAATGTGTGATGTCCTATTCGTTCGAATCGGTCTTTTGAATCGGATCTTTTTATGAATTAACCCACTGAGTCACAAAACCTTTCGGAGCGACTCGTACGCGTAGCAAAACATTACTAAATCAATAAAGATTCTCGAGTCAACAGCTGACTGAACAGAACAAAGAACCGTCCGTCTTTATCCGACTCGTAATTAACCAAGAGCCAGTCAGGGACCTCACATGAGTAAGATTTTTTGTTAAATTGAACGAAGGATATGATTAATCGGCCGAAAACTAAAGACTAGCGATAAGTTTACATCATACCCGTGCGTTTGAAATGAAGTGGTTCTTCTGTTCGAAAGAACCGATTCGTGAGATCAATTGCAACAGTCAGCCTCATCTGGATTAACTGGTTCTGTCACTCATTTGAGTCAATACGTTCTTTGTAGTTTCGCTGTGGTTTCGAGAAACAGCGTTCCTATATATCCACATTTCTCTTCAGTGATGTTATGTGAGTCAAGGATTGGCTACTAGTTTTGAAAAGCCCCTTTGGGCTGTTTTTGTGTGTTTTGTAGAAGGCCCATAAATTCCCATAAACTGGATTCAATCCTTGCCATTGTATGAGTTTTTAAGCTCCGAAACTATGAGGTGTGTTGATGTCTTCAGTTTTTAGGCCCAGCTAACAAAAAATGTTTTGCTAATATTCCTTTCTATTAAGTCTGGACATTAAAAACGTTTTTTCAATTATAGCTTTTTTGTTGTTGGTTATGCAAATATTAGAGAAAACGTTAAGTAGTACATTTGTCATTTTGCAAACACTATGTGAACGTATAGCTGGATGTGTAGAGAAACAAATGACTTGTTCTTTGTTTCATAATGTTCTCTGTTATGAAGCAGAACAACAAATGTAAACCGTTGTGAAGAACTGGGCTGGACCACCAGAAACCCATGGTCTCCTATTGTGAAGGCGTTACTGTTTGAGGCGACACACCTTTACACAACACCATCTGACATTTGTGCATTACTCCTACACTTCCTGTCAAGAGTGTTGGCCTGAGGGTGTGAAATGATTCCAGTAATTTTGTTACTTCCTAAATTTATATTTGGTGTGTAACCACAGAGATGAAGTCCACCTCTTTTATGTGGGAATTCCAACTGTATTCTTCTAAATTTTGTTTTATTGTTGCTAAGATGTGAGAGTGGTTTTAGCACGTTGCTATGTGGTTGCTATGATGATCTGGGATGTTTCTCTTGTGATATTGTAGCCTCTAGATATGGTTCGGATCTCACCTTCAATGCAAGTCTGGGATTTTGTCATATCGACAAAAATCTGGTGTGACTAAGGTTTAGAGAAATGTGTTTTTTTGTACCTCATGTTATGTACTTGGCGGTTTTCCGGAACCAACATGAATATAAAGAGTACATTTCAAAGAATTTGGATGTATAGTTTTTTTCTTTATTGTGGACTGTGTTGTTGTTATTGTAAACTAAAACTATTAAAATAGTTTTTTTAATGTTGGAAAAAGTTAAACATTCTTTAGCAGGCACTTCCGCTTAGTTCACGAAAGCTTGGGACTCCTTTAAGCAATATGTTATGGAATATCATATCCAGCTTAGGCTACTTTATTTGACTATTTCTAAAATTTAAATAGGGCTGTCAAACGATTAATCGCGATTAATCACATTCAAAATAAAAGTTTGTGTTTACATAGCCTAATATATGTGGGTGCACTGTATATAAATACACAAACAGATATTTTCATGTATATACTGTATATAGATTTATATATAATTTAAATTATATATAAATAATATTTTTTTCTGAAATATACATGCATGTGTGTATGCAAAATAATTATACACAGTGCACCCACATATATTATGTAAACACAAACTTTTATTTTGGATGCGATTAATCATGATTAATCGTTTGACAGCCCTAATTAAACCTAATAAAATGACCGTACATGACAAAATTACTAAAATTAAAATGAAAACTGAAAATAAAAGCTAATTCAATAGTATAAATACTATAATAATAGTATATAAATAATAGTGAAATGGGCATTTCTATACTGCACGTTAATACTGTTTAATACTTGCCGTTTGTCTTCATGTTCAAGGCCAATATATGCAGAAACATTCTCTGGGCCAGTGTGCATATTAAACATTAACAGACTGAGGTAATGATTGCCAGTGTAACCAAAGTGCCGTTCAAATCAACGTCCTTCAGGAACTCGCTTCGCTTCAAGAAAAAAAAAATACTGTTGTGTTTTCTCAGACTCAAAGATTAAGGGCATTTAAGGGAGAAAGACATTTTTAAAACCTGGATAAAGAATTGTATATTTAAAGTGAAACACTTCTTCCATCCATCGTTAGTCTTTATAAGGTGGCATCGCCTCAGTGAATGGAGACCTTCTCAACTAAATATCCCAGTTCCACCTTAATACCTTGAGGAAAAAATGAATATCAGAAAGTACCAAAGGATTTGTATAGTAGTGGGTGGAGCTTTCCATGGGCTCAGGTGGGGTTTTATAATGTACACAGGCTAATTCAGGTGTATAGGCTAATTCCTGTGGGGACAACTGCTCGTCATGTAGGCTACATCTATTATGTTGAAACAGATATTTTGGATGGTTTACGGTCCCATTCTAGGTGTTTAGTTCTGTCTTGAAAATGGACGTGAGATTTAAAGGGATGGTAAGTCTATTAAGTATAGTTGTTTCTGCTAGTTGTTGAATGCTTAACATGAGCTGTCTTAAGTTTACTAAACAGTGTGATGTGTCATCTGAGCCGTCTAATGACAACAGAGACGGGACTGTAAATACTGACTTGCACCTGTTGGACTTGAGTGTGTTGCCTATAAAAATAGCCTATATTACATACTTTAAATTGGTAAATGGTGTACTTATTTGTATAATTGCAGCCGTCACATGCTTTGCTCCAGGGCATGGTTGTGATTTCAGTGATTTTAGTTGCTTACTAACTGCTATTTCAACCTGTGACCCCCTGAGGCTAAATCGCACAAAAATATCCCATAATTTACTCGCCCTCAAGCCATCCTACACTGTAAAAAATGATATGATCAATAAGTTATTATGTCCAATATATGATTTTACATTGCTTTAACTCATCAAAATAACTTGCTCAATTTTCTACTTTTTTTTAACAAGGATGTTTAAGTCACTTAAATTACATTAAACTGAAAATTGTACTTAAATTTAAAGGTTTTGTTCAAAACTTTTGCTGATAATTTACTCACCCCCATGTCATCCAAGATGTCCACGTCTTTCTTTTTTCAGTCGAAAAGAAATTAAGGTTTTTGATGAAAACATTCTGGAATTTTTCTCCATATAATGGACTTCAATGGGAACCAAACGGTTCAAGGTCCAAATGAGAGTTTCAGTGCAGCTTCAGAGGGCTTTAAACAACACCAGACAATGAATAAGGGTCTTATCAAGCGAAACGATCGGTCATTTAAAAAATAAATAAAAAAGTTTAAGTTTTATGAGCACAAATGCTCGCCTTGCTGTGTTCTGTGATGCGTTGGTGACTCTCCTGTTCGAACTCGTTCATCAAAATGAAAGAATCTTGGTTCATTCAACGAACGAAATGAACGGAATGACTCGAAAAAAGATTCATTCATTTTGATGAACGAGTTCGAACAGGAGAGTCACGAGCGTGCGTCACAGAACAGAGCATGGCGAGCATTTGTGCTCATAAAACTTAATTTTTTTATTTATTTATTTTTAAAATGACCGATCAGAAGTGAATAGTACATACTTTTTTTTAAGCCCAAAAAAAGCGCATCCATCCTTTATTAAAGTAATCCATACAGCTCCAAAGGGTTAATAAAGGCCTTCTGAAGGATTTTTGTAATAAATAAATAAATAAACTTTATAAACTCAACTGTAATGATCACTAGCTTCTGGGGACGTCAAGTTCTATATATTACATAGTCTGACGTTCACTTCAATTATAAAGCTCGGAAGAGCCAGGAGGGTGAGTAAATTATGGGATACTTTTCATTTTTAGGAGAACTAACCCACACACAAATGACATTTCTGTGATCATTTACTCTCCTAATTTTTAAACTCTTATGATTTTTGTCTTTTACTTTTTTCGCGGAACACAAAAGGAGATATTTTGAGGAATGTCCTGGCTGCTCTTTTCAGTATAATTAAAGTGAAGGGGTCTGGGGGCTGTCGAGCTCCAAAATGATGAAAAAGCTTGATAAAAGTGGTCCATATGATTCGAGGATTGTGCTGGTTCGGTTTACATGAATTAAGGGAGTCTGGTGACCCATTCACTTTGTGTCTCTAGGCCTTTAGAGGTGGTGAGCAGTGATGTATTCATAAACATAAACTACAGCATAGTCAGCAGTATGTTAGAACAGGTGTAAGAACACCAGACTGTAAGAGTCTAACATGTTCCATGAAGGGAGTTCCCTAGAAAAGGGCAGTGCTGTTATTTGCATCCCTGGTTTCATCAGTATTGAGCAACTTCCTTTTTGACCATCATTGTTGTCATCAACAGTCATGGTTCCATGATGTTTCATATCTGACATCTGCAATTTCAAGTTATTTTGTGGAAGCCGTGATACATTTGTTCCATTCTGCTAAGGTGGATCAGCTTTGCGATTGCGAACACACACTCTCTCTGACCTTTGCAGCCAATAAAAACATGGGAAGCATTCCAGGAATTCTCTAGTCTAATAGAAACTGCTCTCAAAGTATGTCACGATGATGGTTGCAGTAGGTCGTTGTTAAGCGACACGTTTGGCTTCAAACCAATGTGAACAAGTTAAAATAATTCAATGTGAGTGATTCAGCCCTTATTTTGTATTTACAATAAAGATATTAACTGAATCAACCTTGCTAATTATGAACTTTGGAATCGGGTTTGCCCTTAAAACCCTCTCTTGTACTGATAATGGCTTGACTCGTCGTCAATGTTTGGTTTCACTCAACGAATGTCTGCTGCGAGACGCGTGTTGTCAGACTGTTTATTGGTGGTGAGCCGTTGACGAGGAAGTGTCGGGTATCAGTGTTGTCACGCGCTGGCTCCGCCCCCTTGTACCTGTATGGCAGGAATTCAGCAGGTGCGAGCATGTTCAACTAGAGCGAGAGCTGACAAACAACAGCCGAGGGAGGCCCTCAAAAACTGGCACTGTTCGTCTGAACCGGTTTCTTTTGGTGGTTTGTAAACGTTCTGATATCTTCTTATTGTTTGGTTCACGTTGCGCTAATAAACGTAACCACTTTATCGTTTCAGAAAACAGACATGGAGGAGATGACGATATGGGAGCAGCACACGGTCACGTTAACGAAAGTAAGTTGCGGATCGAGGGTTTAATTCGCCTAAGCCACACCTTATCTAGCTGTGTACAGGTGTGTCTGAGAATGTGACACCAGGTTTACAGTTTCCCAAACAATTGAAAGTCGAGGCGGATTAAAAGTTTTGTGAGCATGAGTTTTTTTTCTTCTTTTCCACCTGTCACTGCTGGGACGCACCCGAACTTTTGGAATGTCAAGTTTGGGGTCATGTGGTGCATTTCATCATAGAAATAAAATTGCCTTTATTCTTTAATTTAAAGATTTTTTTTGTTTGTTTATCATTTATTTTATTTGTTCTTTCTTTTCTATTCTATTTGCTTGCTCTTTTGTCTCATTTAATCAATTTGTTTTATTTTTTTTTCTTTTGTCTTTCATGTTTTTTTTCTTCATATTTTTGTTTTTCTTTTTGTTTGTTTTTTTATTGGTAAAATTTGTTCTTTTGCTCTTTTTGTTTGTTTTTATTGGTAAAATTTGTTCTTTTGCTGGTTTTATTTGTTTTTATTGGTAAAATTTGTTCTTTTGCTCTTTGTTTGTTTCTTTCTTTTGTTCTTTCGTTCGTTCTTTCTTTCCTTTGCTGTTTCTGTCTTTCTTTTTTCTTTTGCTCTCTTTCTTTTGCTTTCTTTCTTTTGCTCTCACGTTTTCTTTCTTTCTGCTGTTCCTTTCTTTCTATTTTCTTTTTTCTTTATTTGTTTTTATTCTTTATTGTTAATTTCCTATTTTCTTTAATTCTAACCTTTTTCAAACATTTTTGTTTGTTCTTTCATTCTTTTTTTCGTTTGCTCGATCATTCAGTCTTTTGTTTGTTCATTCTTTCGTTCACAGGATTCCAAGGTCGGCTTCGGTTTTGCGGTCTCAGGTGGGCTAGACAAGCCCAACCCAGTAAACGGGGACACGGCAGTGGTGGTCTCTGATGTGCTTCCCAGCGGCCCCGCCATGGGCCGTCTTCAGTGAGTCCACTTCTCCTGCATTCAGACCCACTCTACTTCCTCCCACACATCCTGTGTAATCCTGTTAGACCTGTCAAGACTGTGTACAAGATGGAAAAACCAACATACTCAAAACATATTTGGCAGATGATTTTTTGTGATAGAGACTCACGTGATTTATTGTCCACAGTACACGAGATCAGATAGCTATGGTGAATGGTGTTTCCATGGACAATGTCACCTCACACTACACTATTCAAAATCTGAGGAAATGTGGGAAATTGGCAAACATTGTAAGTAAGAATATTCCAAAAACATTGCCAAAACAAATATCTACGTAACATTTTTGCAGTTTGAAAACAATTCTTGTTCTGTTTTTATTTTGTAGACCGTGAAGAGGCCACGCACAATTCAGATCCCTGCGAGCAACAGACCGACTCGTTCTGCCTCACAATCCAACATACTAGATGAAGAAGGACCTCGGAACAGAGGTCAGCGTGACGCTGACACCAGCCGTAACCGACGAACTCGAAGCGTGACACCTGACCGCAACGGCCATGACCTCCCCATCATGTCCGGCTTCAAGAGGCTACCCAGTCAGGATGTGCAAAACAAACCCATCAGAACAACCCTGATCAAGAAAAAACCCACAGATGGTCAGAATCTCATTGTTTTGAATTGTGGAATCTTTTGTGGTTCTTGCCAAGATTTCAACCTGTTTCTCTCTGCAGAGTACGGAATGAAGCTGGGGAGCCAGATTTTCATCAAGCACATGACTCCCACCGGTCTAGCTGCCAAAGAGGGCACCCTTCAGGAAGGAGATCTTGTTTTAAAGGTGAGGAGCAGGTTCTTTATTATCCGTTCCATCGCATTTAGATGTTGTTGTGTAACCCATTTAAAACTTCTTGTATAGATTAACGGCATGACGACAGAAAATCTGTCCCTGCTGGAGACCAAGCACCTAGTGGAGAAGTCTAGAGGTAAACTGACCATGTTGGTGTTGAGGGACGACAGAAAGTTCCTGGTCAGCATTCCTGAAGTGGAGGACAGTCCTCAAAACAGCGCGGACGAGAGGAGGGAAGACAGTAGCTCCGAGCTGGAGGGTGAGAGTCAACGTTTTTACAGCTGATCTCTAGTTTTTGGAGTGTTGATACTGACTTTCAATTTCTGCTTGAAGAAATCTCAGACCTGGATTCTGACGACCCCATAAATCGAAAATCCCGCCCAAGAGAACGACGTTCTCGAAGGTGAACGCCTCAACTCTGACCTGATTCTCTGGCTCTTTTAGTTCAATGATCTTTGCACTAACAGAACTCATTGATCCACAGAAGTCGTGCCAATCCTGTCTCTAAACCACGCGAATCTCCCCCTTTGCGCTCTACAAGACCGCCCGCCCAGTTGATCCCCCCTCGCAGAGGTGAGCCTTGGTTCAAAAACTCAATGGGTCTCATTTATGAAACGCAAGTAAAATTTAAGTCATGGCCAAGAGGTTTTGACCCATAGTTGTTTATGATATTTTGATGCTTTGGCCTTGTGCAGTTCCCTCTGAGTCTGAATCGGACCGCAGCAACTCGCCTCCACCGTCAAGACACGACACTCTCGACAACAGAGACCGATACAAGTAAACATGGCTTCATGTGTATATTGAGTTATATTAATGTCTTGTTTTTCTTTTTTTTGGGGGGGTTGCACTTTATTTTACAGTACGTGCACTTCTGTGTACTTTCCTAAGAAAGCACTGGGTAATAGAAGGTAACTACATGGGTTAAGATTAGGTGTAGGTTCAGGGTTAGTACATGGTTATTAATCAGTTATTGTAATAACTATAATAAGTATATAGTATGGACATGGGGAACAGGACTGTAAAATAAAGTGCTACTTTGTTTTTTTTTTGTTTTCAGAAATTGTGATGAAACTCAACTAATAAATGGCTTATAAAATTACTTTATCTTGTGGTTTGTTTGTTTTTCTTATTCTTTGGTTTTCTCTGTCTCTAGGCTTTTTGTATTTTGTTTTTTCTGTTTTGATTGTTTTTAGATATGAAGAGTTCAGATGCAAAAGCCTCTAAATGCCATTTGAAATTTTCTTCTTTAATGATGATTTTTTATCAAACTTGTATATTTAAGTTCAGTAGTTTCACTTAAATGGCAATGATAATTACCTATTAATTGTTATTTAAGTGAAATTACTGAACTTAAATATACAAGTTTGATAAAAATCATCATTAAAGAAGAACATTTCAAATGGCATTTAGAGGCTTTTGCATCTGAACTCTTCATATATAGATGCATGGATAACATGTTACTTATTTTATTTTGTGTTGCTTTTCCCCCTTTTTTCTTGTTTTATTTTGTTATTGTTTAGGTTTTTTTTCTGTTTGGGTCGCTTTTAGTTTCTTTGTGTGTGTTTTTTATTTTGTTTTGCGGGTGTGTTTCTTTTTTGTTTGTGGGTGTGGTTTTGTTTTGCAATGGTGTTTTTTCATACTACTGTTTGTTTGGGTGAGATGCAAGGGTCACATGTTCGTCTGTTTCAGGGTTCTCTCCGGGATCTCCACATTGCCAAACCCTCGAGCCTCACCCGTCACCCAGAACTGGAACCCCTCCACTGCCTCACGGCCACGCAGAGGTCTGCCTCAAAATGCCATTTTACCATAATATTTATAAACCAGTTCTGGAATCAAATACTTCACTGAATGACATGCACAAACCTTGTAGACAATTGAACATCTGTAGTTTAATGTTTGTTTTGTGTTACCAGCTGTTTCTGAGTCAGATTCAGACCGGAGTGCCTCTCCGCCCCCCAGACGTGAGAGTCCCAGACCTGAAAATAACTCCAGATACAAGTATGAGTCCACACACCAAATGCAAATACATCCATCTTGTGCACATTTTCTGTATTGATGAGTCGTTGAATTGTCTGAAAGACCATCTTAGGGCCTGTTCACATATCGCGTCTTTTTCAAATGTAGGCGCACAGTTTGCGCGCTCATAATGGAAGCGACGAGGTGCAACGCGCTCGTTTTTTCCAAGCGTGTCCGCGCCGCATTGAGATAAAAACATCGAAACTTTTCAGAATGCCGCAAGCGTACCATAAGCGCACAGTAGGTCACGTGACAAGAACCAACCGGAGCGCAACCGCCCTAGTGCTTTGGAAAAAAGTGAATGTGGCGAACCCAGCGTTTTCCATGCATTTTTAGGCGCAATATGTGAATCTGGCCTTAAAGGTTTAGTTCACCCAAAAGTGAAAATTCATCCTCATGTCTTTCCAAACCCAAAAGACTATCGTTCATCTTCGGAACGCAAATGAAGATCTTTTTGATTGATCTTTCTGTCCCTCCATTGACGGTCTACACAACTACCACTTTTAAAAGTTCATAAAGAGACCATAAAATGAATCTATATGAATTGAGTGGTTTAGTCCAAATTTTCTATAGAGACTCGATCACTTTATATATTGATTGGATTGAATTTAGGCTTGAGGATGATTGAGTAAAGACAGAATGTTCATTTTTGGGTGAACTATCCCTTTAAGTAACAGAGAAAGCTGGTCTAATCCCCAACATGTCCCATTCTTGAAAAAGTGACCAGGTCTGAATGATGATCTTAAAGTTTACGGTTCGAGAACATGCACCGTGACACACTTTTTCACTTAAAAGGTTTTCAATAATATATGTAGAAATATGTCTATTGCCTCCTCTCTTCTCCCAGGGTGCTTCCCGATCTCCCTCCTCCAGGAACGAAGTCTTCCTCTCTTAGCATGTCTCAGGATTTCCCCCGACGCATGGCCTCCCCTTACAGGGCTCCACCCAGAGGTGATTTTTTTTTTTTTTTTCCACTCCATTTTCAGTTCTCTATGTCATTTTAACAGACTCATTCAACAGCATGTCTTTTCCATACAGCTGCATCAGAGTCCGAATCGGACGATAGTACCGGACCTCGCCGACAGGGGACTCCAGCCAGCCAGGAGTCCCGCAATAGATACAGGTACACATGAGGGACGCCTCACTGCCACTTTTAACGCAACTCGCACCGGACTCTTTCATTAGGGCCTGTCATCCGCCTGTACACGACGAGACAAAAGTTTATTCTGTTGTTTTTCATTTATTTGCTTTATTTTTTTTGTGTGTGTTGCATTATGTTGCTTGTATGCATTCTTGTATTTTTCTTTCATTGTGATATCTGAAAATGTGATGTGTGATCTTTTAAAATAAAAGACACCGAATCAACCTGAGTTTTCTCCTGTACTATGTTAATTTGTGGCTCTTGAAAAGGAAATATTGCTCCTAAGACCTTTGTATCAAACATCTGAATTCATAAGTATACAATCAAATTACCCACATAATACAATAAACAGCATTTATACACACATTATGTAAGATTTTAAATGTTATTTAATTCTCAACAACCAGTGGTGTAATGAAGATAGAGGCATCATAGATATGGATCTAATGAACTTTTTAATCCGTTTAGTTTAGTACGTACTGCCAGTCTATATGAATCATTGATTTTTGGGACTTATAATTGACCCTATAATCAGTTATGGCAGCGGATAGTCCACCCCTTTCAATATGAGAGAGAGACCCCCAGAAACCCTGAGGTGAATATCTCCCTCGATGATTTCACATTAGTTCCCACTCTCCTCATGGACAAGCATCATTTAGTATCCCCTCATCCTCCTTTTTTTCTCTCACTCTCCCATCTGCCCTCTTTCTCTTGCAGGGCGACCCCAGAGGTCACAGCAGTCCCTGTAATGGAACCCCCAAAATGGGCGAAACCCTCAACGCCTGTACAGAGAGGTACGAGCAAATCGTGAAGGGAATATTCAAGGTTGAATGTAAAAAAAAAATATGCCATGAAAATAGTTTTTCTTAATACTTAGAAAAATATTTTGTAATTTAAATAAATATTAAAGTTTACATTGCTGTAAGTTCTGTAATTACACATAATTATTTACACATTCATTTTCCATAATATATAAATAATAAATATCGATGGCATTAATATTGTAACTACAAAAAATAAAATAATGTTTTAAATATGTACACTATTACACATTATTTTCCAAATATGAATTTTTAAATTACTGTAAATTTTGTAATTGCATATTAATATTTACCAATTAATGTTTCGTAATATATAAATATTATATATTTATGACATGAAAAACAATTTTTGACCTTGTCCCTTAAAATATATATATTTTTTAGATATTAATATGTATAAATTAAACATGAAATATGAAAATATCCATGTGTACACGATTATTTAAAAATTTGTGTTCATAACTGTACATGCACATTTCACATGATATATGATAAATACCATAATAAATATTGATGGCGTGAAGATAATTTTTCTTCATACCTCAATTTTAACTGCTAAAAGTTTTTAATGTATTTAATAAATTATTTAAACATTATTTTCTAAATATTAATATGAAAATTACTGTAAATTCTGTAATTACATATCAATATTTCAGAAAAAAGTGCAAATATGAATATTTAATTTCTTTGTTCCTGAATGTTAAGTTTAAATATTGATGTGTAAATATTAAATATTTAAATATCCATGTGTAAATGATTGATATTTAAATATTAGTGTGTAAATTCAGTAATTGTTCATACACATTTCACATTAATATTTACACATACATTTCATTACAAAACATGTTATGAAAATAATTTGATTTTTTTTTTTTATTAATGTATATATTTAAATACTGATGTGTATGAAATCTCATTTTTCATACACATTACAAACTATTTACACATTAATTTTTCATAGAAGTCATATGAAATATTTTTGTGAAGTAATATGTCATTAGCTATTACACCCTTTGCATTTTAAATTCACACCATTCGAGTCATTAGCAACCCATAATGGTCTCTAATTTGCATATTTAATCAGCTCCTTCAGAATCCGAGTCAGATGCAAGTTACAACACTCCTCCGAGATTACAGTCTCCAGTCAGTAAAAACTCGAGAATCAGACAAGGGTAAGATATATATATATATACATATATATAGACTATATTGTTTTGGATTATTATTTTGCATATAAAGGTGACGGCTATTTTCATTATTGTTTCGTCTCAGGGCTGAAATGCAAGTGCCAATCATCAACAACCGACAAGATCCCCCACTCAGATCCGCTCCTGCCAGACCACCACCCGAATGTATGTCTGAGTAGTCATTAGAGAAAAATGTCATTCATGTTGCCATATGAATGAATGCACATCTTTCTTTGGCCTTTGTAATGTTGTTTTGTTTGATTTGCCAGATTCCTCTGAATCAGAAAGGGCCCCGTCACCTCCCAGGAGATCTGACAGTCCCATCCACAACAGCGATCACAGGTTCAGAACGCCTCCTATGATCTATATTTATCTAATCCACACTTAAGATAGCAGATTATGTCATAGTGAAGGTCAGCAAACACTTTGGTTGCAACCAAACAATTCCTCAAGACATTGTATGCGGCCATAGTTGCTTATTGTGTGAATGTGAATATCGACTCTTTCTTTCAGTTTCCCACATGCTAATGGCACTCTCCGCTCCAACATATCCATTCCCAACCACACCACGTTGAAATGTGAGTACCATTAGTCCAAAAGCACACCCATAATGCATTGCAACTTATTGAGTGACTGTCTGGTATTACATTGTAACTGTTTTATCTCAGCGAAACCTGTAGAGGAGCCACTTTATTCACTTCCACCAGACGCAGTGCCAACACCAAACGTGGGGTGAGAAATTTAGTTTTTTTTTTTTTTTTTTGTATGCAGATCAAAGACGAGACATTTGTCATATTTCACTCCAAAATTAAATTGAGAAAAGAATTAATATTTTACAAACTTATTTTGTGTTTTCTTCACAACAACATTTAGAGCATAAATAAGCAGAAAGACAAAACAACAATTTCTACAATGATGTATAAATGCGTTATTTATATTTAATTGATTATGTATTATATTAAATATTTTATATATAAATATTATTACATATTTTTTTATTTATAATTCATTTAAAATAAGCATAAATTAAAAACTCCATCAAATATTACTTTATATGGTGTAAAGAGACACTTACATTTATAATATTTTAATCGTTTGTATTTAGGCATTAAGAAATTATAAACATGATGTACAAACCCAATTCCATAAAAGTTGGGACACTGTACAAATTGTGAATAAAAACAGAATGCAATGATGTGGAAGTTTCAAATTTCAATATTATATTTAGAATACAACATAGATGACGTATCAAATGTTTAAACTGAGAAAATGCATAATTTTAAGGGAAAAATAAGTTGATTTTAAATTTCATGGCATCAACACATCTCAAAAAAGTTGGGACAAGGCCATTTTTACCACTGTGTGGCATCCCCTCTTCTTTTAATAACAGTCTGCAAACGTCTGGGGACTGAGGAGACAAGTTGCTCAAGTTTAGGAATAGGAATGTTGTCCCATTCTTGTCTAATAAAGGCTTCTAGCTGCTCAACTGTCTTAGGTCTTCTTTGTTGCATCTTCCTCTTTATGATGCGCCAAATGTTTTCTATGGGTGAAAGATCTGGACTGCAGGCTGGCCATTTCAGTACCCGGATCCTTCTTCTACGCAGCCATGATGTTGTAATTGATGCAGTATGTGGTTTGGCATTGTCTTGTTGGAAAATACAAGGTCTTCCCTGAAAGAGACGATGTCTGGATGGGAGCATATGTTGTTCTAGAACTTGGATATACCTTTCAGCATTGATGGTGCCTTTCCAGATGTGTAAGCTGCCCTTGCAACCCCATACCATCAGAGATGCAGGCTTCTGAACTGAGCGCTGATAACAACTTGGGTTGTCCTTGTCCTCTTTAGTCCGGATGACATGGCGTCCCAGTTTTCCAAAAAGAACTTCAAATTTTGATTCGTCCGACCACAGAACAGTTTTCCACTTTGCTAGAGTCCACTTTAAATGAGCCTTGGCCCAGAGAAAATGCCTGCGCTTCTGGTTCCCGTTTAGATATGGCTTCTTTTTTGACCTATAGAGCTTTAGCCGGCAACGGTGAATGGCACGGTGGATTGTGTTCACTGACAATGTTTTCTGGAAGTATTCTTGAGCACATGTTGTGATTTCCATTACAGTAGCATTCCTGTGTGTGATGCAGTGCCGTCTAAGGGCCCGAAGATCACGGGCATTCAGTATGGTTTTCCGGCCTTGACCCTTATGCACAGAGATTGTTCCAGATTCTCTGAATCTTTGGATGATATTATGCACTGTTGATGATGATAACTTCAAACTCTTTGCAATTTTTCTCTGAGAAACTTCTTTCTGATATTGCTCCACTTTTTTTGCCTCAGCATTGGGGGAATTGGTGATCCTCTGCCCATCTTGACTTCTGAGAGACACTGCCACTCTGAGAGGCTCTTTTTATACCCAATCATGTTGCCAATTGACCTAATAAGTTGCAAATTGGTCCTCCAGTTGTTCCTTATATGTACGTTTAACTTTTCTGGCCTCTTATTGCTACCTGTCCCAACTTTTTTGGAATTTGTAGCTCTCATGAAATCCAAAAGGAGCCAATATTTGGCATGGCAATTCAAAATGTCTCACTTTCAACATTTGATATGTCATCTATGTTGTATTCTAAATATAATATTGAAATTTGAAACTTCCACATCATTGCATTCTGTTTTTATTCACAATTTGTACAGTGTCCCAACTTTTATGGAATTGGGTTTGTACTTTCGAATTTACATTCCTTTTATTATTTTAATAATATTCATATTTATAGTTAAATGCAATTTGAATACGCATTAATGATTTAAATTATAAAATATTTATTATATAAAATATTTACATTTAATTCATTATATTTTGTTTTTAATATGTATGATTAATTTAAATAAGCATCAATTAAAGATAGTTCAAGTCATATGTATTTACATTATGCTAATGTTTTATTTGTATTTACATTTAATTAAAATAATGGTTTTTTTTTAATGTTGTTGTTTTTTTCCATATCAGGTACAGCTCGGACCGCAACCACATCAGCTTTGTGAAGGAGGGCAACGTTGGTTTGAGGCTAGTGGGAGGAAATGATGTCGGCATCTTTGTTGGTGGTGTCCAGCCCAACAGTCCAGCCCAGAGGCAAGGCATGACGGAGGGTGATCAGATACTAGAGGTAGGACCAAGGAACCATGTACATACATGATCATACCTTTCAGCTATATTCCCCATTCTTCAAGAGTCTCTGTTATTTTGGTAGGTAAACGGTGCAGACTTTAACCAATTCACTAGAGAGGAGGCAGCTATGTACCTCATGAACATCCACGCTGGGGAGCGAATCGATATTCGGACTCAGAACAAAATGGACAGTGAGTGCCTTCATCTCACTTGTGACCAATCCTTTGCAGTATTCCAAACAAAAAAGTCACATTAAGGAAGTAAAATGGATTACAATTGCTATTTCCAAGTTAATTTCTGCTCTTGCCCTCTTAGTCTACAAGAAGATTTTGAAATCCAGCCTCGGTGACTCTTTCTACATCCGTACACACTTTGACCATGTGGCTGAGAGCAGTGTCGGCTTGAGCTTTACCAGAGGTGAGGTGTTCAGAGTGGTGGACACTATGTATCGCGGAAAGCTGGGAAACTGGCTAGCTGTGCGCATGGGCAATGATCTACACGAACTGGACAAAGGCGCCATTCCTAACCTGTCCAGGTTTGTTAAATTGGTACTTTTTAAGTCTTTCATCCATTAATATGGGAAGTTTTTTTGCCTGTCAAAGGAGTTTACTTTAAAAAAAACTTTTGCTGATAATTTACTCACCCCCATGTCATCCAAGATGTCAATTTCTTTTCGACTGAAGAAAGAAAGACATGAAGGTTTTTGATGAAAACATTCCAGGATTTTTCTCCATATAATGGACTTCAATGGGAACCAAACGGTTCAAGGTCCAAATGAGAGTTTCAGTGCAGCTTCAAAGGGCTTTAAACGACACCAGACGATGAATAAGGGTCTTATCTAGCGAAACCATTGGTCATTTAAAAAATCCTTTTTCGAGTAATGACTCGAAGGGTCCTCGAAGACCCTTATTCATCGTCTGGTGTCGTTTAAAGCCCTTTGAAGCTGCACTGAAACTCTCATTTGGACCTTGAACCGTTTGGTTCCCATTGAAGTCCATTATATGGAGAAAATCCTGGAATGTTTCATCAAAAACCTTAATTTCTTTTCGACTGAAGAAAGAAAGACGTGGACATCTTGGATGACATGGGGGTGAGTAAATTATCAGCAAAAGTTTTTTTTTTTAAAGTGAACTACTCTAAGTATGTTGCATTATACTTGCTAAGTGTACTGACTCTCTCTATTTTAGGGCTGAAACTCTGGCCACTTTGGAGCAGGCACAGAGAATAAGTGCGGCAGAGCGCCAAGCATCCGGCCCCAGAGCCGAATTCTGGAAGCTACGGGGCTTAAGAGGGGCCAAAAAGAATACCAGAAGAACCCGCGATGACCTCCTACAGTTAACGATTCAGGGCAAATTTCCAGCATATGAGAAGGTCCTGCTTAGAGAAGGTTTGTGTTTTTTTTTTTTTTTATTTAGCTGTTAGATTTTTAATGTCATGTACCTTAACAGTGATAGTGGACTATTCCTAATGGAATAATATGCGTTTGTTTGGTCATATGCAGCCAATTTCAAACGGCCAATTGTCATTTTGGGTCCTCTGAATGACATTGCAAATGAGAAGCTGGCCCGAGAGTTGCCTGATGAATTTGAAGTTGCAGGTATGAAAAATTGGATTGGGTTTTGAGAGAATATTTCAGTAATTTCTTCACCGTCAAATATTGAATGTTTCCATTTTATTGGCTTGCAGAAATGGTTGCCAGGAGTGGAGGTGATAGTGCATCCAGTGTCATAAAACTAGACACAGTTAGGCGGATAGCAGAGCTGGTAACCTTTTCTTATTACATAGAATTAATGCTGTCAGTATTAAGCCAACATGACCTCAACCAAACACCAACTAGTTTTTAGCCAACAAAGTATCTTGTTTTCACTTGCAGGAAAAGCATCCCCTGCTGGATATTACACCAACTGCAGTAGAAAGATTGAATTACATCCAATACCATCCCATGGTGCTCTTCTTGGATCCTCATAGTCGGAAGGACGTGAAGGCCATGAGGCAAAAATACATGCCAGACTCCAACAAGAGCTCTCGTCGTCTCTACGCTCAGGCCTTAAAGCTAAGGAAACACTATAGCCATCTGTTTTCTGGTAAATGCCAGTCTTCAAAGTTCATATTCTCTGCTTAAATCATTTCTGAAACGCTTTCAGAAAGGTAACCTGTGTTTCTGTGTCCTTAACAGCACGCATTGATCTTGAGCCTAATACAAATATTTGGTATGACATTTTGAAAGACAAGATTCGTCAGCAGCAGTCTAAACCCGTCTGGGTTTCAGAAGTAGCGGTAAGAGCCCTAGAGTGTTCTAATGAAACGCTCACGTCTTGTCGAATTAACGTAATTACGAGTTTACAACTTTAAAAACCTTATTTGTCTTTGCTGAACTCTTGGGAAACTCCCAACTTGATCATTGGGACATCATGCAAAAACCCAACAGCTCTGAAACAAATCTCTTAATTGCAATAATTCTGACAAGGCGTGAATGCAGGGTTGATGTCATACTTGAATTGGTTAACGAGATCTTGGTCTGTGTCTAGTTGGAGGGAGGCACCGACGAGGAGCTTGATGCATTGAGCCGTGCAAACAACTCTGACTACCTTAGTGGTGCCAGTGACTACGAGGACACTGACGGTGAGGCCTTCACAGATGGCGAAGCCTACACTGACAATGAGGACCTGGAAGAGCAAACACAAGGCATCGCCAGACACCGCAGCAGTGCACTAGCCCGCTCCTCGGAGCCCGCCACTGGGCAGAATCCCAGTCCTGAACCTTCCTACGACCCAGAGCCATTCCTGGAGGAAGAGTCCGAGTACACTCTACCTCCTGATGAAATACCTCCTATCCTCCACGTTCCAGAGCCCCGTTCTCCACGCGTTGTCTCTGGCTTTCACCAACAAGAAGACGATGTCCCCTCGCAGCGCAGCTTCACGGATTCAGACTTCAGCACTGGCGACATGGCCGCACCATCGGCACCTTCCAGTGTGCCGCCCAACTTCACGGCACCAGATCCCAAAGATGTCCATTCAGAGACCCCTCCACTGTCAGCCATTGAAGAGAAACTACAACAGGTACCATATATATGCCACTGTCCAATTGACAACATGATTTATTCAATTAGGACATGTTCTTTAATCTTAGCCTAACCATACATTACCTCTAAATGCTGAGGGAAATTAGGTTTCTAATGTTCTTCATGCCACTGATTCTAGAGGTGACCCAAACCTTGAACATAAAATCTGATTGATTGATTGATTGATTGATCCACTGAATAACAGTTTGAGTAGCACAACATAATTTCTGCATCCTTAGTAGTTAACTTACCCTAACCATAACCTACCTTTTAAAAACGGGGTGAAATAAGTTGATAATGTTCTTCACGCCACTGATCCCAGGGGTAACTGTGACTGTAAAACCTGATTAGTTGATGAATCCACCTTAAGTAAAGTTTGAGTAGCACATTATTAAGTCCTTGACCCTAACATCTGATCCACTAATCTCAGTTTGAGTAGCATGGCATGATTTAGTCAAGTATGGCATTTTATTGAATCTACGTTCTTCTTAGCAGGACCAATAATGGCCAAATTTACTCCAACCATAACCTAACTATAAAAGCCTATAAAAAAATTGCATTATTTTTTGATAATTTTCTTCATCCGACTAATCCCAGGGGTAAGTCTGACCGTAAAATCTGATTAGTTGATGAATCCACCTTAAATAAAATTTGAAATTATAAGTATTTAGCCATACCCATAAACCCATCTCTACCCATTACATATCACTAAAATCAGATGGAAATAGAGTTCCCGAAGTTACGACGTCACTCTGTAGGCCAAAACACGGAAGTGAGTTAGCATTTTAGCACTTCCGGTTCCCCCGCCCTAAAGTCGATGGGTTTTTGCTAAATCGCCTGAAATAATGTGGTTAACCAAGCCTCTATATACAGTATGTTCACGTTTTGATCTATGACACAAAACACACAAGTTATAACCTGCTTGTGTTTTTTTTTTTTTACGATTTTGAATCTGCTTGTATTTTTTAAAAACTTTATATAGGCTTCGAAATGTATACATTTTGTATTAACTTGAAAAGATCATCTTGATTGACAAAACGTGTAAGGGTCACAACTCTTATTATAGATTTTTCTAACAATCCGATTTTCCAAAAGTCTATGGGGAAAATGCATAGCTTTTTGATCGAGGGAGCCCATGCACCGCTAACTTCCGAGTTGAAAATGTGGTTGATTGGTAAATCCACTGAATTCCGGTTTGAGTGGTACAGCATGATTGAATCAAGTTATTTGTTTATGGATCTACATCCTTAGTAGGACCAACAAAAGACAAATCCTTTACCCGGCCTTACCCTGACCATAGCCTCCCCTAAACCTTACAGTAAGACTTAAAAAGATGTTGATACAGGTACATGTCCTACATTAAGTCATGTTGAGGTATTTGATTATGTTTAATATTAGGTATGTAGAAACACTCAATGGAGCTATTCATTATTTTGTGTGTTGTTGTTTTAGGCCCGTATGGCAGAACCAGAAAGGAAACCCTCCCCTTCATTTGTCGTGTAAGTATTTCTATACGATCTGTCAACTTGAGCTTGAGGAAGATAAAGTTCTGTATCAATTCATTTTTAAATGCATTAATAAATCTTTTCTTTTAGGTTGGCACATCACGAAGCCATGCAAATTCGGAGAACACAAATCCAAGGAAGTGACAGTGACAGCGACAGTGATGAAAACGCCAGAGATGATGACGATTTTGCTATTGATGATGAAGCTGATGACATTGAATGGGGACCTGCCACAGAGCTGTAATGTACACGGATTGTACCAACATCACAAACAGGCACATGGACCACTCATGTCTTATTCTGGACCTGTACATTTACACAACCAAACTGGAAATAACTTTTGTGTGCGTTTTTTTTTTTAAGTGTTCCTATGGACTTGTTATAGAAAACTATAGATTTAAATAGAATAAATAGATTTATTTTGAAGATTTGTTACCAGAATGGCTTCCTTTTGTGGGTTTGTTGTAACGGATGTGCTGAGGTCTTCCTCGGGATTATTTCCAAAAGAAATATTACCAGTTGTAATAAAGACCACCTGGGTATATTTTACCCTTTTCAGTAACTCGTTATATATTATATTATTTTATTAATGTATTTTGAAATAAATGGAACAAACTCTGATGTATATAATGTCATTAGATCAGTGGGAACAAACCACTTAAGCCCAAAGGATAAATAGTGTTTGAGATTATATTGAAATTGATCTTACTTCTGCTAATTCTTCTCCACAATTTTCTGCCGTTAATCTTACTCAACCTGCTTAAAGGAGTAGATCACTTAAAAAAAAAAACATAGTTTCATTTTTAATTTTTTTTTAACTACATTAAAATATCATTCCAATACCGTTCTTAGAGCTAAAACCTAAAGATGAAGTGACTTTGCTGTCACCTGGTGTCTTATTTTGGCTTATTTTAGAATGCTCTAAATTAGTTTTCCCATTCATTTCTATGGGTGCCCATTTTTGATCCAAATACAAGATTAAGGAGTTTTTTTTGTTTTTTTTTTACACCCACTTAACATTATAGAATTGAGTATAAAAAAGTGTGTGTTCAGGAGGCAAACTTAGGAAAAGTAGCCAAGTCTTGTATCGCTCAAGGGAAGTATTTTAAAAAAAATAAATCAAAACTATTTTGCCCACATTTGTCCAGAATACGGTTTTAGGGTTAAAGATGTCTATCAGATGTTAGTAAACAGCAGATGCTTTCCAGATTAAGTGATCTTTAACAGACATCTTGCAGACGTCCGTGTGCTAGCCTATCTGGAACAGCTAACATATTCTTACTAAAAGTTTTTAAAAGATCCATTTTAATTTCATGGCGACTTTAATACTATTATTTTAACACTGTATTTCATTGAATCACAGATCTTTTGCCAAACAAAAAGGTTTCAAGAAGTGTTTGTCACGAAGGTGGGCGGTGTAAACCACCGCAGGTGACAGGCATTAACGACGAAACTGTGAAGCGTTTGGCCAAATCTTATCTAGCGGGTTAAAGTTATGAAAATCGCTGCCTAAACGCTGTTTGTTAGTCTCAATAAGCATACATGCTATCCAGCCCACATGTTTTACATAGCAACGCAGTTTCACTTGTCAAAGGGACTGAGAGTGAAAAAAACTCAAAAGCGGATGCGCTTCAGATTGTTCTGATGTGTGTCACTAGATTCAGTCAATGTGCGATAGTATTAGAGGAGCGAGACAGAAGCTCGAGCTCGGAGTGTGTAAACCTCGCATCAGCGCTTTGAAATGGGGAGCCGGGGGGTGGGCAGGGGGGTTATATCGTAAACTAAAAGACATACGCGGCGGATCTAAACATCTAAAGCTTAAAATGTTCTCTAAAAGGACAAGGGAACTGATAAAGACACACTCGATGTCAAAGAAGAGCCGAACAGGAAGCAACCAAGCGCCTCTCAACTCTCCATCAGTAAGTCGCACAGCATCTCTCGCCTTTTCCTCCTGCCAATCAACTTGATTGACATTTCACCCTCGCGCTCATGTTTTCGTGTCGTTCTCGACGTTATTGAAACGTGTGTCTTAGCAGTGTTTTCAAACACAAATATCTAGACTTTAAAGCGTATCATTAGACAGTTATGCTACAGAGGACGGACTAAACTTCCTCAGTGTGATATGGCGCAGCAAGGTGCAAGAAGTTCAGGTTTTGCCTTATTTTAGACATTTTTTGTCATTTTCAGTCAGTTTGAGGATTATTTTTAGACATAATTACTTTTCAAGGCATATGCTGCTATGAAATTTTGAGATGTGATGGATAACAGTGTGGAAAGTTGATTTTGTGACGGACGGTAGCTGGAAATGTTAAAGCGTGGATCGAGTAGCAAAAGCTACAGTCCTTATGCGACCAGTCAGAGAGTGAAAAAATCAAACAGCAAAAATAAATTGGACATCTTGCCAAATAGACCAAACGTCTGGCTCAAACAGGTGGGTTTTTTATTGAAAACTACTGTAAATGTTTGTACGTTACTGTTAAAAAATATCCATGTGTCGTGTAATAAGTTATGACAACGTTTTTACATTGCTTTTACATCATCGAGATAAGTCAAGCAATTTTTAAAAAGTTTTTTTTATTATATACAAGATTATCTGATTAAGTCAGTTTGATGTTATTTAAGTTGAAATGACGTAAATATCCAAGTTGATTGTACTTAAAATTTTAAGGCAGCCATTTTATTCGACATTGTCAAACCAGATCAGTGTCTCCAGATATTGTAGGCTAAATTATTATACTTTTTACCTTATAATAATTGTCTTAAAATTTAATGTTTTACCTTTTGTTCTAAAAAAAAAAAAATACCTTTCTGTTTTTGATGGGGAAATAATATTAAAAAAAATTCTATCGATCTGTGTCTTTTTTTGTTAATTGGATTTTGGGATAACACTTTTTTTGATCTTTGACACTTTCGTTTGTGTAGTGCATAATTTTTTAGGTGTTAGTTCATTATAGATGTGGCCTTCGAGCTACTGAAAGGATATTTTTGGTTACTTGTCCTTCATGTCATGTTGACTCTTTTAGAAGTGTTCGTGGGCCTCGGCTAGGCCTGTTAGTGTGGCATCAGCTCTTCGGGGTGTGACAGGAAGTAGGCTGCGGTTGCATAAGCGCTCTTGTGACAGAAGTTCTGTTTACTAACAGCCGTCTATTGTAGTTAGTCACAGATCTTGTTCTCCATCCGCAAACCTACTTTCTACATTAAAGTTTGCATGCCACGTTTATCAGTTTGCTCACACCGTTTCCCTTTTTTCGTCATAATCCAGCTCTCTTCGCTTCAAGAGCAGCCTCGGAAAGATGTGGTCGATGCCGCCACCTCTTCGTCCCACACGTCCTCTAACCTGTCTCCATCTGTCCTGGAAGTCCCATCTTCCTGTCCTGGTACCCCTTCGACCCAGCACACGAAGCTGGCTGGCTGCCCGTCTCCAATGGGCACCCTAAAGCGGCCAACTTCTCTGAGTCGCAATCCCAGCGCAGCGGGCTTCCCTATCCAGTCTTGGGTCTTCAGTAAGGGTGCAGGAAAATCTGTCATCTCCCAGAGTCCTTCACCAGAGACACCCGAGACCACAGTGGCCATTGAGGTGGAAGACATCCCGTCGCTGCTACGCATAGTGGAGCGGTTTGCCAAAGCAGTGGAGAAGCTGAAAGATGTTGTGCTTGAAGGTAAGATGGATGATGATTTTGTTGGAGAATAAAGAATCTATATGACATGGATTATTTGGGGTTTAAGGACGGAAAAGCTTTCCTAAACATTTATGAAACGTTTCCCGGTAACTAAGAATCTGCCACATGACGAATTGCACGTCGTACTGCACGCATCACCTCCTGCTGTGGATCATGTGATCGTGGAGGAGAGAAAGGGGCGGGGCGAGTTTGCTCAAAAGGCCCTGTTCTTTCTGTAGCAGCAGTGAGGTTAAGTTCCTGTGGTGCGCCACATTGGCACAGGAAATGGTACTCTCAGAAAACACCCCCTTCCGTACTCAGGACTCGTAAAGCAACGTCATTTAAGCACCAAACCTGTAGTCGTACCCATACCGAAATCTATTGTTTTTGAAGCTTTCTGACAACTCTGAGCTTATGAACCGCTTTCTGACAACTCGGTAGAGATAAATAAAAGGAACTTTTCAACAAGAGGCTCCTTATAAAAGCACTGTGTTTGTATCATGATAAAGAAATGGTAATACCATGGTACTTTTAGAGATTCGGTTGCAGGGCTTTTTGGTAACGCTTCCTTTTACAGTCCAGTTACCCATGTAAATACTATGTACTTATTTTAGTAACTACAATTACTGGCTAATAACTAGTGAACCCTGAACCTACCCCTGTTCCATGTACTTACCTTATATTAGCCAGTACTTTCTAGGTAAGTACACTGTAAGTACACTAAGTACTGTACTGTAAAAGGAAGTGTAACCGTCTTTTTTAACCCTTTTTTTGTGGCGAATACTCCAATGAGAGTCAACCCTTTTAAATAAAACAAAGGCAGCTATAAATGTTCACATTTTGGGACCCATTTTAAAAATAGTTATTTATTGTTTATATGAATTGTTTGGTTTATTATACTATTATTATTATTAAGCTATTCTATAATGATGAAAAATTGTTCAGGAAATATTAAGTGCGTATTACTTGTATATTATTATACTCATATGAAGAGTTCAGATGCAAAAGCCTCTAAGTGCCATTTTAAATTTTCTTCTAGAATGATCATTTTTATCAAGCTTGAATATTTAAGTTCAGTGATTTAACTTAAATGGCAATGGAGCTTACCTATTAATTGTCATTTAAGTGAAATTTCTGAACTTAAATATACAAGCTTGATATATATATATATATATATATATATATATTATATGTGTGTATATATGTGTTCTATGCAAAGTAAAGTTAGATGTATAAATCTGAAGATAAATATTGATAAATTCAAGCTTTATTTGTATAGATCTTTTTACAAAAATGTTCCAAACCAAGAAGCACTCCCCTAAAAAGAAAACAAATTCTGTTCAACAATTCTTGAAAGTTGTGTTGCAAAGAAGAGAAGAAATTTGTGTGGATGTCTCTTAATTTTCTGACTTTCTCCTTTACAATGCCAATAAATGATAAAAAAAAATGTACAAACAAATTTTTAGATTAGTGTAGCTTAACTTTATTATCCATTCTGTTTGTCACAGTGGGAATTCATCTTTGACACTGGTACCATACAAAGATACATAAATACTGCGAGAGGTCCCGGGTTCAGATCCCGGACGAGCCCCCATTTGTCACGGCCCGGCTTGCAAGCCGCGACAAACAAGGAAATGACACGTTATAATTGTATGCAAAAAGGAATAAGATTTATTAAAGTAAAAGGAAAAAAGTAAGAGAATAGACCAAAACGAGAACAAGACGACAAAAAAATGGCACGAGGAGAGAGCGCCCTGTCACAACCACAGGTGAAAACCATCAGTCATCATGACGTCACTCACTCCAACTCCAACCTACAAAACAACTACCAAAACGACACTATGACCCAGACTGGGGTCGTAACAACCGACATACAGTACATGTTTACACATTGACACAGACA